GGGAGCCTTTCACCTCCCAGCACCCGGCTCTGAGCACGGCAGACCCTCTGGGGAGCAGGGTCCTGCCTGCCCTGCTCATTAACACCTCCCATCACGGAGCCAGGGTCCAGAGCAGAGTGGCCGGCACCCTCCTCCCGTGCCCTCTGTTCCCCAGTGGTTGCCCTAAGTTTCGGCCAAGTCCTCCATCCGGGGCTCCAGAGCGCCCCCTGCCTGCGCCTGCACTCTGGGACTGCGGGCTGCCTGAGCTGGGTCCCTCCCTCCAGGCCCCCCCCTCTGTCCTCTGCCAAGCCCACCGCTGTCCCTCTGTGCCTCACTTTCCTCTCTTTTAAACGTAGCAGTTGGACGAGACGGTGGCTTGCAGAAAAGCACAGCTGGAGGGAGAGTCCTCCCGCCCCCCATCTGCAGATTGTAAATATATATTTATCTCCTCTAAAGCGGTGCTTCTGCAGGTCCCCCGAAGCATGGCTGCAGCACAGAATTTGAAGATCGCTGACTGAACCGGGTATGTCCTCAGGGTCCCTGCAACACGGATCTGATTAGAACTTAAGACTCGGAGAGTCTAGACACACAAAAAAACTGTCTAGAGATGCAAGTAACAAATTAAAAAGGGGGTGGAATGAGCCAGGGCTTTTATCCAGGATTCCTTGCTCTCATCTAACAAGAAGTCGGAAGAAGGCAGACGGAGGCAGGAAGAGGCACGCCCCAGGCCACCAGCTCCTTCCCCCTCTCCCCCGCCGTCCTCCACATGTGGCTTCATCCTCAGATTCACGGCCTCACGATCACAGAGTAGCCGCTCCTGCTCCAGCAGTTTGTCTGTGTTCTGGGCAAGAAGAAGGGGACCAGCAAAAAGTCATGAGCCCACCCGTATCAGGCCTCCCTGTAAAGACCTCCTGGAAGCGCGACCCAGCGGATCTGTTTATGCTTCATGGGTGGACTGTGACCCGGCGTCCCGCTGCACAGGATGAGCGGGAAACATAGCTGTTTTTTAAATATGGCACTTTGCCACTATCAAGCCAGCCCGGTTCTCTAAGCGCAGATGTGGAGGAGACTGGTAAACAACCAGCTGCGTCAGCCAGGCCATGTGGTTTGGGGCACGTCCTCCCCCTCTCTGGGTCTCAGTGACCCCATTTCAAAAAGGGAAGGATGGGATCAGAAGCCCTGGGACTTTATCCAGCTCTGATCCCTGGGGCACCTCATGACTTGGCCACCAGCTGTGTGACCCAGGCAGGGTAGGTGACAGCCTTGCCTCAGTCTCCTCATCTGTGAAATAGGGCTAGCCATAGAGCCTGCCTCACCAGGTTTGGAGGATCGCTGCTGTGTGCAAGGTGCTCAGAGAGACTAACAGAAGGTCAGAGGGCAACAGCCCTCAGTCATGCTGCTGCTCGGCTAAGTAGGAAAGCCCCCCGTCCTGAGTTCCACTTCGGCCTACCCCTGGGTGCTGTGTGACCCGAGGCAGGTGCCTTCCCCTCTCTGGGCCTCAGCAACCTGTTCTGTACCGTAAGGGACTGGCATTGTCTTGGGCCCAGGGGATCCGAGTGGCTTTCGGAAGCTGAACTGGGCTGTTGACAGTGAATTCCTTCCTGGGCTGGGAGGGGGCCGGGAGAGGAGGAGGGCTCAGCTGCTTTTCTGCAGCCAGGGCAGTGACCTGGGCAGCACGGACTTCCTGTTTCTCAGAGGGAATCCAGGGTCACTGGGCGGCCCTCCCGCTCCCTGCCACTCCCTCTTCCATGGTGGAAACGGTCGGTCGCTGGGGCAACCTTCCCAGCGTCACCTCCCTGGGC